GAAAGAGTCAATTTGACTTCTCCCAGTCGGCCAGTAAGTATTTATATTATTATTAAAACATGACTGAAAAGACCTATGTGCCCTTACTTAAGTTAAGAGCACATGTTTCAACACAACATTACGGATCAGCAACATCAATCAAGGTATAAAGACAGAAATACCCCTATGCTAACAATCACCTTAGGGGAAAAATAATTGTATTTAAGGTTCAGTTTGGGAGGAGTGCAAATACAAATATGTATAGTGCAAATGCAAGGTTTAGAAATACAGTAAATAAGGTTTTGTATTGTACACATTTGTATTTGTGATCTTCCGAAATTGAGCTTAAAAGGCACATCATTTCATTTTCTTTGATTCCCAGGGTCAAGTTACATAATCAAGAGAATGCCAATACATAGCAAGCATGGAATGGATAAAAAACAATACAATAATTAACTTCACTGCAAAAAGAAAACCATTGTTTTCTCTATCCATTATGCAACTTCAGTACCTTGCAAATACTCGGATTAGAAAAAACAGGGCGAAGGATGCTCATTACATCGTAGAGAGCGATTGTGTCAACCAGATAATCTTCCTTCTGAGTGGAAATCTGTTCGAAACTCAGGGACGCATGAGATGTAGTGGTTCATATAGTGTACCAAAAAGGTAATAGCATCGAGGATTATACCTGCACCAAAGCCGTAAATCCTAGGAAGGAGCGCAGGCTATGCTGTTCTGTATCAACTGCGAAAACTCGTTCGTTCCTCAATACCTCGACAAGCTCCTTCAATTGAGACTCCGTCTCAACCCAAACGTGAGAACCACTCATCTTTAAATTAAATTCACCGGTAACGAAGGCGAACTCAACCGGAGGTTTCTCCAACAGAGCTCTAATCTCTTGTTCATATGGATGTGAGTTTGAAGACATCTCTGAAGAAACAAAATAAAGTAAAGAAGCATTGGTGAAATTAGCTAGGGTTTATGCACCTAAATCTGATAAATGAAATGTACCTTCATGTGTTTCATTTCGATTGAAGTGTTTGAATGGAATATATGAGTTATCAGCCAATAAACGTTTGAAGGTATTCTGTGGCTTCTGCTCTTTCTCCAGGTAGCAGAGATTTGCAGAAAACTTCTGTTTACGACGTCTCCGATAAGTTGTGGTGACGAAGAATGAGATTGCAGCAAAGCAAGCAACTGTGAATACGAACTTGATCTTCTCCACGTTTTCCATTTTTTTCTTTTTTTCGGAGCTCGGCTCAGCTCAGACTTCAGAGTCTCTACGAGTATCGCTTCGATATCTTTAGTTGTTTGTACTTCGAACACCGCAGCTGTTAGAAGTAGACACTCTAGATACTTTTACCGAAAAGGGCACTTTAAATATCTACGGTCAGACTGCAGGCCTGTTTAGAAAACCGCCGGAAAGGATTCTGATCCAACGTATGATTCTAAAGACAATAAATACGATTATGATTAAGTGGTGTTGACAGACAACTACAACCCTAGGTCCGTAGGACCCATCCTATCAGTGGACTTAAGAGGTACGTGGATCCGAACCCGGGAAGGACGGATCATGTCGATAACCGGTGCCCAGATATCTCTGATTGAGGACTTGACGTCTGTTGATCTGGTTTTGGAATTTGGAGCAATGAACAGTAGAACATGTAAAGTGATGTAGGCGTTTGGTATCGACGGGACTGTATGTGTGAGGTTTTAAGAGGACAGGATATAGTAGGGACAACATAAATAAGCACTTTAATCAACCGAGGGCTGGCTCTTAGCTAGTTTGTTCTCGTGGAATTGAATCCCGCGATCAGCACTTTAGGGAAGAAAGGATCAAGGGAAGTTATTAATGATGCATGGTATTGAATAAACAAACGGAGAAGTACGGATACATACTATGCATAATTCTGAATTTCAGCCCCCTACCCTCTCCCCCTATAAACCATATCCTGCCCGTGAATTTGGCATCAATTCACGGTCAGGATGCATTTTCCTTGTACTTTAGGGCTATAAAATTTTGATCGTCATTCTCCCAAAAAACAAAAAAAAAAGGTAATCATCTTATATGAGCACTTGATAATTATTTTGATAACTGTCAAAAGTGTGTTTTAATCTTTTTCAAGAGTGAGATTTTGAGGGACAGGTGTCAACAAATTTTTCAAGTGCTCATTGTTGTGCCTCTCAAATCCGAACTCGGTTTTAAGCATCTTTGTTTGGCATCGGTGCTGCCACCTAAGAGATCTTCTTTCCCACAACAGGAACCCTCCTACCTTTCACTAAACAGCAGAAAGAATCGGTCGATGCCGTATATATGTTGCAGACATCCTAGAGTATCTGGCAAGCTCGAGTTTGGCTGATGCCATAGATATGTTGTAGAGACTAGAGAGTACTCAATCCACTTGTTGCCTAGGATTTCAACGCCCTCAACAAATAAACAAACCCTAGAGAAGGCAAAGAGAAAATGGAGGAAAAGCCATGGCCATTGATACTTTGGAAGATGCTTGAGTATGAAAAGTGAAGGATAAGATGCGAGCAGTTTCGTCATGGCCAGACCTTGAGCCATTTCTTCCCCCAATCTCCCTCTCTGTCTTGTTCTCCGCCATGGCCAGACCTTGAACCATTTTTTCTCTCAATCTCCCTCTCTATCTCATTCTCCTATGTGCCTACTATTGCCATGAAGATGCGATGCATCATATCAATTCAAAACTTTGCCATATTGGATGCCACATCATGTTACCATTGGCAGCAACGGATACAAAAAAAAAATGATGTATTCAATGTTTCCTCAAACCACACCTTCCTGATTTTTAAGGCATAGTCATTTTTTCTCCATTTTATAGAAAAGCATAACCAAATAGTGCACTGTCTTTTAGAGCAACATTTTTTCTGTCGTAGTGCCAATGTGATACCGTTTTATGGAGCAATGGCATCGATGCCAAACACTGCCTATATTTTTATCGCACAAGTGTTGTTGCTTGTTAGGCATCTCAAGCATAAGATAAGCAAAACAAAAATGTAACAATGAAAACATTAAAAGATCAAAACGATGTTTTCTCTCGAAGTGAATTTCACATGACTTGTAATAATAAAAAATATAAAACGTTTTTAATTGATCAATCAGCTAAAAAAATCAAGTACAATTGTTATGTGGTGCTGGTGTCACCAAAACATAATCACAGAAGACCCCCTTTTTCCAAATCGGTGGTTGTGGGATTTGATTCTACGTCAATGCTAGAGCAAACCAACTTACATACCAAAGAGCCACCCCTTGGTTGGTTTAGAATAAGTGCTTACTAAAAAGCACTTTATGAATATTTGGTAAAAAACACTTCTATTCCGAAAATTTTATGGCAAGCTAACAGGAACCAAAACACAAAGCCTTGTAAGTGCTTATTGTTTAGTTCACCCTATATAATTGCAACAATACTTGATGATGATGATAAAACAACATAGTATTTGATGATTATTATTAAGAAAAACAATATGATAATGATAAATTAGTGAATACTTAATTGGGAAGAGCGCCACCATGCATGTTTGTGTTTTTTTGTTGCAAAAACATGCATTTTTCCCCAATGATCAATTTGGAAAGAGAACAAATACATATATGTAAAACGCAAAGCCTTGTATTTTGAATTTCTAAACCTCTATTTATACTATACATATTTGTATTTGTATTCTTTCTAAATTGAGCCCAGAGAATAAAGTATCAATACATATCATATTGTATTTATATGATACGTTATCAATACATATCATACCGTGTTGAATTTTGAACATTGGAAGCATGTGTGAAAACCTCATATAAGAATGGACATTCGTTGAAACATAAATAACTATGTATATGATGAAGGATAATTTGGTCCTCTGAATTACATCACGAAATGTGTCTACCAAATGACACCATGGCGTTGAGTAAGCAAATCACCTCGACAAATTGATTAGTAGCACCTCGCCTAGGGCGAGCTAAGGTATAAAAGGTCTCTAATCCCTCACATCTATATAAAGGTACCATTCCTCTCATACAAGGTATGTGCGATTAAGCTCTTGCACTCTTTAAACTTCTAAGTCTCTCAAAGAACTCTTTGCTGACTTAAGCATTTGAGTGCCCACCTCACGTAAGAGCAGCTCGGGCACTCTAACTCTCTCTGCCAACACCTGGGTTTTGCTCAATCTGCCATTTGTACCCCCCAATTCACCCTAAATGCCCAATCAAAATCATCCAACCTCTCTGAAACACTCAAAAACCCAGAAAAAACTGACTTTCAGCTCTAAAGCCCTCAAATTCATCGTTAAACCTGCTCAATACCTATCTGATGGCCCCAATCGATCCTCACTTACACCTCAACCATTAGATTAAACACAGCTACTAGACCCAGGACTTCCCAAAACACCTACTCACAAAAATTTAACTCAAAATTCCTCCGTTCACCCTTTTATCAAATAAAGATTCCATTTCGACCTTCTTGTACCCACAACCCACATCCACTTGATCCGAACACTTATCAACCAATCAAACCATGCCAATCACCCCAGAATACCAGAAGACCCCTACATATGAAATTTCAGCCCAAAACTGTCTTTATTTGCCCCTTCATCACACAAAGATTCCATTTCGACCCCTAGATTGACCAAATTCACCCTTATCCAAATCTGCCCAATCCGGGCCCAGTTGGGCCAATCTAAACCTGTCAATCAACTCAAAACGTCTGAAAACCCCACCCTATAAAATTTTAGCCAAAAATACCCTCATTAACCCTTCCATTCAAAAAGATTATATTTTGGCCAATCCTATTAGTCCGTACGCACAAACCCACTCCCTGTGGTCAATCCCATCTCAACCCTTCATTTTCGATTAAAAAATATCCACCCTTGAACCAGGCCCTAGGTCGGTTCAGTTTCCTGGACCGGTTCTGACCCGGGTTTACGAAATTCCGAAATTACCCATAAATTTGATAAAATCACAAAAACACCCTTGCATTCAATATAAAAATGCTTGAAACCTTCATTTACACTAATCCGAGAAGTTTATGAAGAGAGGACTGTTCATTCTTTTCTCCGTTCGAACCAGCGGTGGAGCAAGAAAGATTTCACCTTGCTCCCTTTCTTCTTCTCCCCTCTTTCTCGGTCTTCCTCCTTTTTCCCCTCCTTCTTCTTCCTTCTTATCTTCTGCCTGACCCAGCAGTACAACAGCGGTGAGACGGAATCTCCCCCACCACCAAATCTCCCCTTCTCTCTTCCTTTAGTTTAATTTGTTTCAAAAACACGATTGTCGTCATTGCTTCATCGCCTTCTGATCACTTGCTCCTGTTGTTGCCTATCCCACCTTCAACGTGAAGCAGAGGAGTTGCAGAGCAAGCTCCTGTTCGAACAGAACACCTGTGCAACGTCGGGTTCAACTTCGCCAAACAATTTGGGTTTCTCTGAAGTCCAGAAGCAGACCATTCTCCCTCCCACCGAAGCTCAGTCAGTTCTTTCATTTTCCGACAATGTTTTGGGAATAAGTGTGATCAGGTAATCTTTTCAAGATCAGTTCTCTCTCTTTCTCTCATTTATTTACTGTCTTTTTTATCTATTTATGATCGAAGGATGAGAAAGGGGAAGAGCCGATTCCCAGTAAGCTCCTGTACCCTTCCTAATCCTGCCTTGCTTAAGTCTTAGTTTTAAATTTGTTTATCTATTTCTCTGTTGGTTTCCTTTTTTATAAATCTTCTCTGATGTTTTTTTTTACACCGCATTAGTTATCCCTTCGTTGAACTTTTTAAATCTGTTTTTGCGTTATCTTAGTTTTTAGATCTTAATGTTAAGCCTGTTTCTCTGTTCCCACGTTGGTATCTTTTTCTTTAAACCTTCTCTGATGCATTTTACCAAACCATTTGTATTTCTTTGTCGTTGCACTTTTACCATTCCTTCTTTGTGCACTTTACCATTTCTTCTCTAATGCATTTTACCAAACTGTCGAATAGCAAGTTTAATTGGTTTTTGATATATTTCTTATTAAACAGCTTCTAGTTCTGCATTTCTTTAGACAGCTTTTTATATTTCTTTTTGAAAATCATTTTGGAGGTCCCATCACCTCTATTTCTTAAATTGATGGGTGGCAACTCCATTTCCAGCCCAAGTGGCAAGTGACCCGTTTTCCGACACTCACACTCTCTCTTGCAGAACCATCTAGCTTGGCCAGACCTAGCTCGGCCAAACTTAGGTTGGTCACTGACAAAGGAAACTTCAAGCTCGGTGTCCGAGTCACCTGCCAAGCGAAATCCGTTAGATCGCACACCATCAATTGGCGCCGTCTGTGGGATCCACTACAAAAAGCTAAGTTTTCA